ATTCATGCAATAATCTTCGCACCATAGAAAAAAAAGACTTATAACAAAGACTGATAAAGATTTTTATTCGTTGTTAATTATCATTGAATTAAAAATTGATTGTTAAACAATTTGATTTTGAAAAGGTGGTTACATTTTTCGAAGGAAAACTTTGTTCAATATGATATAAACAATTGTTATCAAATGATTTTTTTGAACATTATTGAATCTGTTTGGTTTTTTTTCATAATGAAATGACTTCAATTCTTTACATGCTTTTAACGCTTACAATAAATCTATAATTTGCGAGTATCTGTTTTGTTATTATATATTACTTTCTCATAATAACTATAATCAATTCGATCCAATTTTGATAATTCTTCTGTTGGTATTAGACATTTGAAGAGAACACTACTTTATTTTAATTAAAAGTCACTAATATATCAATGAAAAGAACAAATTATATTACATAGAAAAAAAAGCAAGATTTATTATATTCAGTATTTATTGTTATGTCTAGAGTAGGTCCATCTCGAAAATTCAAATAAAAATAAACTAAAAAATAATGGAAAAATTCTTTTCATAAAAACTGATCTATAATTCATATTCTCGAAATCGAATCATTTTTATTCTAATACTCGAAACAAATTCTTTTCAAAGATTAGTTTCTTGTCAATGAAATCATACACATAGATAAATTTCTATGAAAAGTACTTATCAACAGTCCATTAGATTGGAACTAATTCTCAAACTGTCACTTTAGTATTAATTATTTAAAAAAAAAAGGCAACAAATTTTATGTTTTAGCTTAAGGAAATCTTCCATGAATATGACAAGTGTCAAGAGAATATTGAATAAATATAAAAATTTCTAAAGTATTTTGTTAGTTTTTACAGAATAATAATTGATTTTGATTATATATTGATATCAATTTACAGTTAAATTAATACCAATAATGTCAATTAAGATAATTTCGAGAATATTTCTCTTTTAATCTTATTTTCTTTCCGATAATAATATATAATAAGACTTATGTAATGAAGATGAATATATCTTTATTGGTATATTAAATTTATTGATTTATAGTTTTTCATATTTATTGTAAACAAAAAATGTTTTCTCAATGTTTTGCACATCTGAATAATCAATTATTCACCGTATATGTCATTATTAGTTACATATAATAGATACTAATCATCATAAATGTCGTAGTTTTTGTTTTTGTATGTCATGTATTTTTTTATCCACTTTTTCTTCAATCATCGATTCATCAGACAATAATGTCAAGAGACATTAACATTCTTCGTTTTTCCAAAAGCATATTCATATAAGTATGACATTACATGATCATTGTCAATCGTCAATCAATGATGTTTATTTTAGTTTTTGTTCTTAGAATATGATTATTAAATAGTTGACCAATTTATTTGTTTATTTGAATAGTTTATAGATATAAAATAAATTTCTATTCTATAAGGTAAATAAATATGGTATAGAAGTGAATAAATCTATTGAAGACATTGTGTCAAATGAAAATATTTCGAAATACTTTTTCTGTTGGTCTTTAATATCAATAGTTAAAATGTCAGTGAATATTCTAATGCTTATACTCTGTTATTTGTCTATATTCGCTGTCATTTCCAATCATTCACAGATGCTTATAAGAAACCATTCTAATGTTGTTGTTGTTGTTGTTGTTATTGTTAGCGAACTCGGCTGGGTGTCAGTGTGTATGTCATGTTTGTTTCGATTTGATGAGATCTTTTTGCGATCTCCTTCTCTTTTTGTTTCTTTTCTTTTCTTTTCTTTTCTTTTTTCTTTTGGTTAATAATATTGTCTTGAGGTTTTTCTATTATAGTCTCTTGTGCGTAGGAGAATCGTGATCATTTTGATTAGAGAGATGTAAATTTGATGAATCGACGCGATAATAGTGGTATCATGCAAGTAGATTATCGATACAACATATGTTTAGAACAAATAGGGACACAAAGACATTTCAGTCTCGGCTCGCTTCATTCTTGTGACAAATCTATGATAGATCGTTATATTGATAATAGGAATATATTTTATTTATTTAAATCTCTCTATTATTATTTATTTGATCTTTAATTTGTATCCTATATTTGAAGAATAGACTAGTGTCTTTTTCTATCAATATATTATATTCATATAGAGAATGAAGTGACGATAGTGATAATAATGACGATATTCTCTTGAGTAAGTCTAGATGAAAACAAATAGAAATAGATAAAATGAAAATGTTATTAATAATTTCTATTTTTTATTGATAAGCTTTTAATATGTATATGCATAGATAAAGATGTATGAATTTACATAGTATTATTGAATTATTGAGGTGGAAATAAACAAAAAATAGAAAAAAAAAAACTAGAAGATAAGTCTGCAGGTAGATCAACAAGGTGAAATAGTATTTTATTAATATGAACGTAAAACGATGAGAAAAGAAAGAGAGACGTAAATGTAGGAAAACTAGACAAAGAAAGAAAGCGAGAACATAATAATTAATTTCCTTTTTTTGAATGACTGAACGACAAGCCACCAAACATGCTATAGCCAGACTGTGAGATGATGATGAAAAAGAAAAAGAAAAAGAAAAAGAAGAAGAAGAAGAAGAAGAAGAAGAAAAACTCACGAAAGCAGTGAATGAAGGTTCTGAAGTAGTTTCAATAATAGCAACTTTCTAAGAAGAAGAAGAAAAAAAAAATGTCTACTAGAAGAATATAAGCTTATGTAAAATAGAGAATAGAAAATCAACATATTCTTCAGGTAAGATAAGTTCTCTTTTTATTTATCTTTAGAAAAATCTAAACAAGAAGAAAAAACAAATATGTTATTATATTGATGAGAAAATTGACAATTGTGTCATTGTTGAATGTTAGTCTTGTGTGTATTCATTGTCGACATGACAAATAGTTAATTTTATTTTAGACACGAATATGAACTAGAAGGTCTTATCTATCAGGCAAAACAATAGGAAATCCGTCATTTTAATAAGTTTATCGCATTGCATGCCTTTTTTTTTCAAGCAAGTGTCTTAGTCGTCATCATTTTTCTTAATTATTTAATAGTCGAAAAAATATATTTATTATTCTCAACGATACAGAAAAATAAAAACGTTCGACTAATCAAAAATTATATATTTCGTTATTTTTTTTTTCTTGTCTTCTCAACGCTTTCCAAAAAAACAAAAATCGATTTGTTCATCATTTGGCTCGATCTGCTCTAATGAATGATGACAGAAAATAAATCGAATTCGATGGTCAGATCAGAAAATGCCTTACTTATAATTCTATTATGTTAGATCTTAATAGTAAAGAACATAAACATATTTTATATCTCTTTCATAGATTTCATCATAGAGTCTCTATCTTACTCATTGATGAACTAAGTTCACCCAGTTGTTAGATATAAACATCTTTAAATAATTCTCTATTGAATAAGATTTGTCTCATTGATTATCATTTACTTCATTGTTATTTTCGCTTTATGATATTATCAAATAAATTATATTCTACTTCATTTCTTTATTTCATTCAAAATTATTAATTTGTTAAATAAGAAAAAAAAATGTTAGCTTTCACTTTTTTTTTTTCTATTATTCTCACATTGTCCGTATGCCTTTGAGTTAGTTATTAATTACATTAACATCAATACTATATACCAGTTAGTTATTTGTTACTCTTATTAGGATATTAATCATTTCGCGGCGACGTTGCCCACCGATAGGACACACTATATTTTAAACCCAACGGGTCACCCACACTTTGTATTTCATATTTTAACCTCTGAACATGTTTTATTAAAAATATAAGATGCATTGTGAAAAGCTCTACAATCTTTATAGTAAAATTTATTTTAATTGTGTAAAACTTTTACTATGAAGACTGTAGAGCTTTTCACCCTGCATTTTATAATAGATTTTCTTTTATAATAAAATATATTTAGAGATTAATATATCAGATGTGGAAGTGCGACTATTTATTCTAAGTCACCGGTTACTTTTCTAGAAAAATTGAATCGTTGTGAAAGAGTTAATTATAACATGATATTTACCATTTCAATATCTTTCGATTATTATTTATACAAAGAAACATTGAATATTTTTTCTATACATTGTAACATCAGTAAAAAAAAAGCAAAATGTACTAACATGTTTAACATTTATTTGTTTTATTGTTAAGATAAACTATATGAATTTTTGTCAAAGTCGTTCTATTTTCTGTAATTGTCTTGGGGGTTTTTTTTTCTGTTGAGTTATATAAAAAACGTTGATCAGATGAGACTAAGAGAATATAAATAAATAAATATATATAATAAGTATGTCGAGAAGTGAAATCCAAGATACATTTAGCCTTTTTATATATTAAGAAAAAAACATTTGTTAAAGTAAAGCATTTCTGTTATTTCTGTAGTAAAATAATCAAAAAAAAAAAAAAAATATTTCTTTTTTTTTCTTTTCTTGTTCTTCATTTTGGTTGCTCAGCTTAATCGACAGCATAACAGTTAAGAAAAACACAATTTTTTCTTTTTGGAATATTCACTTTGTTTGAAAAAGAAAAGAAAAAAAAAATATATATATATATATATTTCTGTTTGCATTGTCTGTTACCATCATTAACAACATATTGATCAGGGAAAATTGTCCGACAAATTGTAACTTTTCCCAGGAGAGTTTTTATGTTATTTTCTAATAAAAAAATAAAATAATGACATTTATTTCTTTGAAAAATCTATCTATGTAATATCGTTTTTTTTTTATTTTATTTCAGATCGATAAATATTCTAAAATGAAAAATAGATTATTGGTTAATATAATTGTTTAATTATCTATTATAAATTTGACGTATGTCTTAATAATATAAAATAAAATAATAGGTAGGTATCTATTTGTCATTGACAGTTTTTTTTTTATTGAATTGTGATGATGCATCATGAATTATTACTCGATCATGGATAAGAATTATTTGACAACAATAATTAATAATAAAACAAATTTAAATTATCCATTATCATCAACAATAATACCAATCGGAAATGATAATAAAAATTTCAATGAAAAAGATCATATATTAAATGAACATGCATCAACAAATGTTTTAACTGATATACAAGGTTCACGGAATCTTGAAGAAACAGATGAAAATGAATTACCATTTCCTGGTTTTGTTGAAACTGTTTTTTTTTGTCTTAAACAAAGTCAAACACCTCGTTATCAATGTTTACAAATAATAACATGGCCATGGTTTGAACGTATAAGTATGTTTGTTATATTACTTAATTGTATAACACTTGGAATGTATCAACCATGTCAACATTTTGACAATTCACAATCACCAAAAAAATGTGATACACCACGTTGTATTTGGTTACAAGCAACTGATTATTTTATTTTTGCTTTTTTTACTCTTGAAATGTCTATTAAAATGACAGCTATGGGAATAATTGGTAAACGAACTTATTTAGCTGATACATGGAATAGATTGGATTGTTTTATTGTTCTTTCTGGGTATGAACTTTTTTTTTTTCTTTTTTGCTTTTTTTCTTTTTTTACTATTTTATTTCATCAATTACACATACAAAAATCTACACTTATTGATTGAAATATTCAAGTCACAGAAATTAATAACGATTGAAAAACTCTGAATTTTTCAAGATTGTTTTGCCATCCCTATCAAGGTTCTCACCGCTCGTGACACTTCTATACGTGATGCTTATCAATTAATTTGCACATATTTCTTATGGGATTTAAAATATCTTTCCTTGTTTCGTTATATTAAATAAGTAATTATTAGAATTTATTAAAATCTAATATATGCTGCTTTTTTAATAAAACCTCTTTAGAGGTTAATATATGAAATGCAAAGTCTGGATTACCCGTTGGCTTTAAAATATAGTGTGTGCCCTACCAGTGAACCACATTGCCTCGAAACGATTTATTAAGAATAAAAATTAATTTGTTTTTTTCTAATGAAAATTTCATATCATTCTTTATAGACATTTTATAGACATCTTTTATAATATAAACTACAAATAACTTTAAGTTCTTTTTCTCATTAATAATTAAGATTTTGTCATCAAAAGTAATTCTATTATATATACTTTTCTTACATCAATAAGTCTTTCACAAAAGTTCTTTTTATAATTTCAATAAATATAGATTCGACTATGACAATTTCAATAATGAAATAAGATTTCGAAAAGTATTCGATTAATATTCATGTTAGACATTTACTTTTATGTTAAATTATTTAAAACATAGATTTTATTCTCTTGTTTAAAAATTATAATTACGATCAAAATAAGTTAATCTATTAAATGATAATGTATTATTGACATCGAAAATATTTCTATTTCGAATAGATCTCGGCGTGACTCAGTTTTATTTTTTGGTTACGATGATAACAAACTATGACTGGAAATGACAGAAATTTTTTTTTTGTTTGTTAAGAACTGTTAACGTAAACTAGTTGAATATATTTATTGTATAAGTAAAATGAACGAGAATGTATTGAAGTGAAATGAAAGAAAAGAAAACTATTTTAAAGTAAAATAATAAATTTAGTCTAATCAAGCAAATAACTGAAAATATGTTATAAAAGAGAAAATTAATTAAATTAATTTCTAACAAACATTCTTTTATAAATAATGTACGTAACTTATTGCATATTAACTTGTTGAAGATACTGCATATATGCAAAAATAGATTCTATTATGAAACATCTGGCCAGTTAACGGTAATAGAGGATCTATGCTGAATAATTTTCAATAGATAAGAGTTGAATGTTCTTTCTATTTTTTGATTTGACCTATATGATAGAAGAAAAAAAATATTCTCAGAGCATATGCACTTTACGCACGATTCTTTTAGCAAATCTCATTAGTCGCTGTGTTTTTGAATAATCAATGAAGACATTTTATCGATGATAAATATTTTATTTAACTTCTTATGTCATAATATTGACAAAGAATATGCATTATATATGTTAGTTTTTCCTTTTACCTACCGATCATTGCTCCAGGCTTGATTTCATAGGTTAACATCTTTTTTTTTCGAAACTTATAAAATGTATTTCATTTCCTAAGGATACATTTTTATCAATATGTTACATACATAAAATGTCTTCGAGATCTATTTTACTTGCAAATAGAAAAGATTTTAAAGGAAAATTTTATTCTTCAAAACTGATCGATTTCATGTGTCTTACATTTTTCATAGATCGATTAATCAAATAAAATTAGATTTTTTAAACAAGTCATAATTCGTAAGAACAACATTGAGTTTCTTGTGAATAACAAGGTAGAAGTTTTGTTTTTCAACAATGCTTCTTCCAATATCGACACTAGTAGACAATCGAAAATAAAGTGTTAACCATAGAACTGTTTAACAGATCTGATTAAGATAAACATGTTTTACTATTGCAATAAGGGAGCTGCTAGTCCTTCTAGCAGAGATGGAGCCGGTACCAGTCAACCGGTCCAAGCACATCTTACCAGTTCAAATCGGTGCAGTTGGTCTATGTTTCTAAAACTTGTGTACTTTATTTTTTCACCAAAGAAAGGCTTTTTTAAGAAAAAATTGATTTTTTATAAAGTTTTACCAAAGATAATCGAGGTCGAGGAGTTCAAATCTGTTTTCGAAATTTTGAGTTTAATTTTTTTACAAAAATTATATTTTGCTAAAAAATTATTTTTTTTGTGAAAAAACCATTTTTTTTTGGCGAAAAAGAATTTTTTGCAAAAGACTATTTTCTTGGTAAGAAACCTATTTTTCTGCTAAAAAATGATATTTTTGGTAAAAGAAATATTTTTTGGTTAGAAAACTACTCTTTTTTGCGGAAAAATGTTTTTTAACAAAAAATAATTTTTTAGAAAAAAATGAATTTGTTAGTAAAAACTTTTTTTGAAAAAACTTAAACTCAAAATTCGAAAAACTGATAATGGATTCGAATTTCTTCACCCCAAAAACCTTTAGTCGAGTTTTATAAAATATCGTTATCTTTGAAAAATAGCCTTGTCTTGGTTGAAAAAATCGAGTTGAGATAGTATCACGCTCACTCATGACTATCACCTTAATATACAGTCTAATCCGAAATATGTATCAGCACCTCAGTACCTTTTCAGCACCTTTGAGAATAATTTGGTGCATGGTGCCTGTACTTCTCCCTTGTTCTTACCGGTAGACCGGTTTAGATCGGTTTCATCTATGCCTTCCAGACCCGGATCCAGATCCATAATTTTATTTTTTTCGGATCCGAGTTCAACCTTTTATTTTTTGTTAGGTTCGGTTAGTAGTGTCTTGCACGGGTACGACTTTTTGCACTCGAACCCGATCCGGCGCTCTTTTTTTATAACCGGACCCAACCCAGTGCTAATCGGCATTCACCAAATAATTACTTTCACAGTCCTAGTACAACTTTCAAACATTTACTTAGTATGAAAAAAGTATACTGTTTAGTTTCTGGCGTAAACAGAAATAGAAGAATTCCTGTTTGTACTTGGATCCATGCTCAGGATCGAGTTGGGTTTCAGGACACTACCGGTTAAACATTTCTCTGAATCCGCAGTTCCCTAATTGCAATAATGTTATGATTGAACAACTAGAAAGAATTTTGTTTTAGTATGATTAATAAGTTCGAGATGTCGTAGATCTATATTGGTATATATATTTCGTCTTCTATATATTCCTTATTGAAGATTGAATAGAATTATATCTATGAATCTATAATTGATAAAAAAAAAAGTTGATGTACAATTTTCGAATAAATTGTAAATAGTGATATTGAAATAAAACTCGAGAAAAAAGAAAAGTAAATCGAATATATTTGTTAATATTTAGATTAATAGAAGCAGTAATTCCAGGTGATATATTAAGTTTATCAGCGATACGTGCAATTCGAGTTCTTCGTCCATTACGTGCAATAAATCGTGTACCATCAATGCGTATACTTGTCATGTTATTACTTGATACATTACCAATGCTTGGAAATGTTTTACTTCTTTGTTTTTTTGTCTTCTTTATATTTGGTATTGTTGGTGTTCAATTATGGAAAGGTTTATTACGTAATCGTTGTTTTTTACAATTAAATACAACACTTATATCTGATTACGCTTTATTTGAGTATGAATAATAATTATAATAAAAACTATCTAATTATTTATTTTTGTTTATTTGAAAAAAGGGATTCTGATTTACGATCTTTTTATATTCCACCTCAAGGCGATTCATTTGTTTGTTCTCAGCCTCAATCAAATGGAATGACAAAATGTTCCGATATTCCAAAATCACGAAAAGGAAATTTAACATGTGAACTTGATTTTGATAAAAATAATCAAGAATTATTAAGAAATCCAAATAAACCAATAAATGCTTGTATTAATTGGAATCAATATTATCAATTTTGTAATGTTTCAGATAAAAATCCATATTCTGGTGCAATTAGTTTTGATAATATTGGTTTAGCATGGGTTGTTATTTTTCAAGTATTTTCTTTTTTCAAATATTCTTTTTATTTTATTTTATTTTATTTGTTTAGATAATTAGTCTTGAAAGTTGGGTTAATATAATGTATTATATTCAAGATGCTCATTCATTTTGGGATTGGATTTATTTTGTTTGTCTTATTATAATTGGTTCATTTTTTATGATTAATTTATGTCTTGTTGTTATAGCAACACAATTTAGTGAAACAAAAAAACGTGAAACAGAAAGAATGTTAAATGAACGAAGACGTTTTTCACGTTCATCAAGTATATTATTAAATGATGAACCAGGTTCTTGTTGGCAAGAAACAATTAAATTTATTGAACGTTTATATAAACATGCATACAATAAACTTTCTACTTTATGGAATAATTATCGACGAAATCGTACTAATGTAAGATTAATCAATGTTATTCAACACTGTTAGAATTATATTTAGACTATTTCGAGACTAGGATGACTTGATAATAAAGAAAAAAAAATTTGAACTCATACAATCTTTTTATATAATTAAAAATGAAAACGTAACGACATTAATACATAAAAGTATTAATATCGTTCAAAGTATCGCAGCTGTCTACATTACCAATTCTTCGTTGTTTAGACAAAGAACATCCCGAGCAGAAAAATTGGTTAAAAAAAAAACGTATTTTTTTTTAAGAATAAAAATTTGGGAGTTTCTAGCAATTGGAATTAGAGTTAGAAGATGAAAATTTTTAGGGTCGGAGTCGTGGAAAAGAAATTTTTCGAAGTCGGATTCGGATTTCGAAATGAAAAAATCAGTGTTTCCTCAAGAGTCACTTTGATAATATGAATATTTAGGGTCTCCAGGTCTATGAGCACTATTTTTAGTAGGGATCTCCAAGGTAGTTCCAATTCAGGATCGAAAAAAACTGCTTTTGCAGATCCATAATTTTATCTTAATCATAGATAAAAAGTATCAATTTGTGGATCATTAATCAAATAAAATAATAAATATGAAAATATAGAGTCTAGTTCTTAATCAGAATGTATAACGGAACCAGTTTTAAGTCCCGGTTCCGATCTCATAGGGACCACTTAACAATTCCCTATTCCATAGTTTGATAAGAAATGAAATAATCATTGTGTTCTATATGTTAAAAAAAGAATCGGTCTATATTATAACTTCAATAACTGTGTAACGTCTTATTAAAATGAATATATATATATTTGTTAATAGGTAAATAAAAAAAAACGTCGTCGAAAAGAAAATATAAACAATAAATCATCAGCAATTGAAATTCATTTAAATCGAGATTCAATATCAAATTGTTTATCATCACCGAACATAAATCTAAATGATAAATCAAACAATCAATATCATCAAATTAGAGATAGTTTATCTAATCGAACAGCAGCATCATTATGTCCATCTATAGCTGATGCACCAGCTGCTAGTCCTGAACAATCTGATATATTAGATTCAATCCATACACCCAATCCTCATTTTGATATTATTGATACAATTCAACATTTGTCATCATTTAATCATGATCATGATAATACTTCAATTCCATCGATTTTATTAAATAATATATCAATTAAACAATCTGATTGTTATCATCAAACTATTCCAAATGATAAATTAACTATTAATGAAGATGAAGATGAAGATGAAGATGAAGATGAAGATGAAGTTGAAGAAGATAATGATGAAAATGTAATAAAAGAAAAATCTAAAATATCAAAATATTTCGATAAATATATATGGTCTCATATGATAAAATTACAAAAATTTATATCAAATTTTGTTGGAAGTAAATATTTTCGTCGTATTGTATTATCAGCTATTGTTATAAATACATTATCAATGGGTATTGAATATCATGGACAACCTCCATCATTAACAAATGCATTAGAATATAGTAATTTAGTATTTACAACATTATTTGCTATTGAAATGATTTTAAAAATAATTGCTGATGGTTGTCTTGAATATATTAAAAATGCTTATAATTTATTTGATAGTGGTATTGTTATTATGAGTCTTATTGAATTACAAGGAAATAAAAATAGTGGTCTATCTGTTTTACGTACCTTTAGATTATTACGTGTACTTAAACTTGTCAGATTTATGCCAACACTTAGACGACAATTAGTAAGAATTTATTTTTTAAACTCATTTATTAAACATTTTTGTTTTTCGGCTGCCGATATTTATCTATTCATTATATATAACACATCATTAATGATATTAAAAGAGAACAATCATTGTCATAAGTAAACTCTCATATTCAGATGATCGCCTGTATTAATTGTTATTCTTATCCTCAGCTAGTTATCTGCCTGTAGCATAGTTCTTTCTCTGTTTATGATATGACATATATAACCGGATTTATAGAAAAATATTAAAAAAATAAATCCTAGTTATTGTTAGAAACTCGTTAACCTAAAACGTAAGCGAATCAGTGTTGCAACCAGTAGGGTTTTCTCTAGACGGGTAGCGGTACCGGTGTAAACCGGTCACACCGGCATGAGTTATCGTTGACTTTTCTCATCTTATATGAGTCATAGCTTACACTGAAAACACTACACTAATTACCTAGGACTTCTGCTTCATCATTGAAAGAGCATTTCTGAAGCATGATTGTCAATATACACTGAGGAACGCGACAAGAATCTTGAACCTATCTTAACCTAACTGACTCGACTGACACGCTAACTTTCGCTCTGAGCATGGTCTGTGGACTAGATACTAAACTTGCCTATAAAGGTACAGCAAAGACTCTATACTTCAGTTTACTTAGAAACTATATCAAAGCTATCCTTTGTAAATTCTTAGCAGCTATACAGAACCTAGCATTGCAATATTGCGGAGGCCTAGTAGTTCCAATTCACTGCATAGAAGACTGTCTATTAATAAAGATCCAAAGCTTCACTTTGCTTCATTATTACTTAAACATTCAGGAGCTATGAACTTTTTGGAATTCAGTATTATATAGTCTTAAATAAAATAGATTCAAAGTATCATACTCTTGTCAAATGTTGATAGTAGAATGAAAACACACATAGAGCTCTACACCATTGCTTCAACGGAAGGGCATAATATAAATAGTGCAAAATAGAAGTTAATATGTCATAGATTACATTGACAAACAGTGCTTCCATTTGATTTCGATTGTAGAGTATAATAATAGTATCCGGATAAAATATATGACGTGTATTTTCATGAATATTCACTTAATATAATCACTCTAATCGATGTTGTTTCTTGGAACTTTTCATGGATCTTAGTAAAACTAGTTTAACTTGCAAAAATAAGCACTTTTATGATCTATTTTTGCAAAAATACGCAAAAAATTAGTGAAAAAACAGAAAATATTTCTCTATCAACCGGTCTGGAAAAATCGCTTTTGCCGGTAGATTGAGGTTCTCTACTGAACCGGCCGCTCACCAACCGTGTGCCGTTACTAGTTGCAACACTGAAGTGAATATGATGAAAATTGATTGGCTTTTTTTGTTGAAAAAACTTTCCAAATCGTTAGAAGTCGAGAACAGAATGAGAGTTACTCATTGAGAGTGAGTTTTGATAACTATATGTTCAATATAGAATCTCTGATAGTTAAACACAAAATTAACGTCAACTTCGGGGGTTGATGATAACTTTTTAGCAGTCATCATCTATCTTACAAATACATATATTCATATATTTCATAGTTATAATCATTCTTGAATTATCTTTAAAAAGCTGTTAGTGCAATCCCTATGGGATTCAAATGTGAAACACGATGTAGTTGTTGCTACTAATTACATGAAAATTCTTTTATTCAATCTATTCTGAGACACATCTATTCATCATCGTGTACTTTATCCTTCAAAACTGCAACAAGGAAGTAGTTCATATATTCTAACAAAATGTTAGTTATATACAGTCTGTTATGGTGTCGGAAGAGAGAGGACGCGAGAGTGGATGCAAAATTCTACCCTATATACTTCAAAACTCCTATTAGATCGTATTTCACAAAACTGAAAAATTTAAATAAATGAAGATAATTGATTTTCTTCTATAGATTGTCATGCTTAAAACTATGGATAATGTGGCAACATTTTTCTCTTTATTACTTCTATTTATTTTCATCTTCAGGTAGGCCTATTAAAAGTAACGAATATATTAATATATATGGGCGTGGTCAGCCGACCTGAAGTCCCAATATTTATTTGCTTGTGTAGCTTCAACCAGATATCAGAAAAATGTGATTTTTTTACTAATTATAGTACATATAGAGTACTAATGATCTATCATTGTTTGAGCCCTATATCTTACTAAGAATGAGAGTTATCAAATGTTTTCTTACGATGATTTCGTTAAAGATAGTTTGCATCTATATTGTTGACAATGGATATATTGGTGAAGAATATGTAGCCACTCCAAGAACGAAACCCCCCATGGACGCGAATTAACCGATGAAGACAAGAATTTCAATCGTGATATTAATAATGCAAGAGTGGATATTGAAAATATCAATAATCATCTCAAAACTTATGCTATTTTCGGAAGTCTTTACCGAGCAACTATTGATAATTTTCATAAGATAACTAACATCGTACAAGTTGCTTCTACTCTATATATTATGTACTAGAATAAACATTCCATTCATGAATAAACAACATGATAAGTTGTATTTTCTGATTAACTACTTGATAATAAAACTCTATAAATGATATTTTATGTTGATTGAAATTTCTTAGTACGGACCGTGTAACGATAAACTAGATCGAATAGCTTACTGTCACCTTCAGTAATGATGTTTATTTAGCTATTTCACATACAACACACGCTTATATAGGAAAGAACAAGAGAGAAAGAGAGATGAGCACAGGAAAGAACAATAGAACAAAATAAAGAGGAAAGGAAGGTTAGCTGGAGATGATATTAATAAATCGGCATAGACTGGTGTATATTAACAAATAAAATACAAACAATCTTTAACGAAATCATCATAAGCAAACGTTCGGTAATTCTCATTCTTAGTAAAATATAGAGTTCAAACAATAATAGATCATTAGCAGTCTATATGTACTACTTAGGGCATATCAAAAGTTCCGGCCACGGTGTTCAAAGGATCTTTTCGAATAAGGGGACCTGTTGAGAAATGAAAAAGCAACTATCCGATGCTGTAGAGCTTTTTGAGGTGCGTTGAATAGTATATAGAAAATCCTATTTTCATAAGACTTTAAAGGATCTGGAGTCAATTTACTGATAGACGACTACACACCCGCATCCATACTCACACTGACAAGATGACCGGAGATGCCACATAGTGGAAGTTGTAGCCCGTAAAAAACTCTACAAAATCGTATGTGAGAAAAAATATTTTACAAATACTTTCGACTAATACCAACGACCACAATTTTCAGTAACCTGTCATGCTTCGGTATGGGTATGTAGTCGTCTATCAGTAAATTGATTCTAGATCCTTTAAAGTCTTATGAAAACAAGATTTCCTATATACCATTGGACGTGTCTCATAAAACTACAACATCGAATATTTGCTTTTTCATTTCTCAATAGGTCCTCTTATCCGAAAAGATTCTTTAAACAGCGTACTCAAAACTTTTGGTATGTCTTAATTATAATTAGTAAAAAAAAGTCACATTCTTCTGATATCTGAGTGAAGCTACGTAGGCAAATAAACATTAGAACTTCAGGCCGGCTGGCTACATCCATATAGAGGTTGATCCAAAACTAACCTGATAGTGTTTGATTGCAAAAAACTTTTAATAGAGACAAAATAGAGAGCTGCGGTTTTCACGATTCAAAAGAGGAAATGAAAATGCATCGAATCATATATCATAGAGTTTTCTAAGATCTTTTCCTAATCAATTCTCTAAAAAAAATGCCGGAAAAATGCTTTCTTATAAAATAAGAAAAATGCAAAAAACTGATTTTTTTCAGAGAAATGAATAGAAAAATCGGCTCAGAATTTTGAGTAGAATACCTATTACTTCTCAACAAGTAACTCTCAAACTCTGGCCTTTGCACGATTTTGTAGGTTTTCGACTAGCGATTTGAATACACATTTGATCATAAAAAATTCAGTGTAGTCACCTTACTCAGTACGTTGGTTTTTAAAAATGTCGATTTGAGTCCTTGAAAAAACTAGGTAAAATTATCTTATATTATGTAATTCGATACGTTTTCATCTTCCCTTTCGAACGGTGAAAATCACAGCTCTCCATCTTATTCCTATCAAAAGTTATTCGCAATCAAACACTGCCAGGTTACTTTTGGACCACCCTGTATGATGTGTATAAATAAACAAAACTTCTTCTCCAGTATATTGGGTATGAATCTATTTGGTTGCAAATTTCGCAAAAACGTCGAAGTAAAACGTAGCAAACATGTTGAAGTTGAATGTTCAAGAAAAAACTTTGATTCTCTATTATGGGCTATTATAACTGTATTTCAAGTAAACTAAACATTTTATTGTTGATGCTTTCGTAACAGAAAAAAAAGCCATCATAAAAATTGTCAATGCTTTCGATGTTTTTTCGTTTTCGATGCACAAAAGAAAATGCTTTTGTTATTGTTTTGTTTTGCTATATTGTTTTTGATAATTCGTATATATACGTAGTATTCTTGGCATGCATTTATTTGGTGGTGAATTTTGTTCAATACAAGCATTCAATATAACATCACATGAAGAATTTCATATGAAATGTCAATGTTGTACATGTTATGAAAATGATATTTTTAAAAATGATACTCATCTCAAAGATTTCAAATGTATACAAAAAAGACAAAATTTTGATTCAATTACTTTTGCATTATTAACCGCTTTTCAGGTATCCATTCTCTCATAAGAATAATAACCATCCATTCAGACGATGTGTTTCGTCGTTATTTGAGGAGAGTAGGAGTCACCATTCAGGACATCGATTAGAAGAGTTTTTACTGAATTTGATCAGATTTTAGAGGGTGTGAGCGTTTTTCTTGAGAATTGGTAAGCAAAAACAAACAATAAAACGGTTGAACTTTGCTGGATACAAAACGAACATTTTTCAAGATCGTGGGTGACTTCTTTGAGTAACCTCCGCTTTGAACACGACCTCTGTATCTCTTATCCTCTGTCTTCGCTTTATATATCTACAGTGTTCGCTTAAATTTTTGCATCATACACCCATTGTTATGTCTGCTTGCTTTTATACGTATATATATTTCATAATGAAATAATAATAAGTTGAATAATTAAAAAAAATATATATATATTAAAAATAGGTGTTAACTCAAGAAGATTGGAATGAAGTACTTTACGATGGTATGAAAACCACAAGTGCATGGGCAGCATTGTATTTTATAGCATTAATGACATTTGGAAATTATGTTTTATTTAATTTACTTGTTGCCATTCTTGTTGAAGGATTTTCAACAGAAGTAAAGAATAAAAAAAATGTTTTTTTATTTATTTATTTAATTATTGAATATATTAGAAAGCGGGTAGCAATTCTGATAATGGAAGTATTTCAAATAGACTGGAAAAAGTTGATCCATTTACAGTAAGAAGAATTAAATTAATAAATAAATCTATACATATTTGACAATTTTAGAGTCAAGCACTTTTTACAGGTGATATTGAAGGAACAGCTAATCCACATGAATTAGTTGTCGATGAAACAGCACAAACTAATCAAGATAATAAAATTGCTCGAATAAAAGGTAACAAAAATAAATAAATAAAAATAAAAATAAAAAAAGCAAACGTTATTATGTATTAGAAGTGAAAATAATAAGTATACCAAAGATTGCTATAAGTAATGAAAATGATTCAAGTTTATATGTTGTTGAAAATTTATTTAAAAAAAGTTCAAATTCAAATTCAAATAGTTCATCACCACATAAATCTATAATTAAAATTCGTTCATCTCAACCACAATCATTATCATCATCAACAACACAAAGTTTTCATACATGTTTTGAATCAATTGATAAACAATCTAGAAAAATTTCTTTACCTATTCAACAAAATAATACACTTTCAACAATTAAAAATAAATCATTAACAAATATTTATAATTATAATAATCAAACATATTATTATGATAAAGAACAAATTTCAATAAATCCAATACGACGAATTAATTCTTATCAATCATCATTAACAAAACGTTTTATTATTCAAGATAGAAAATTAATTGAAGAATATATTAATCAATCAGATAGAATTCATAAACGTCGATTAACATTTGATAATTTTAATTATTCAATAGATCAAGTTGATACATCAAGTATTTATGAAACACCAAAACATGATTATAATCAACCTCTTCAAAATTCATTTCGTTTATTTATTGATAATGATTCAAATATATTAACAACAATTAATAATCAATCTGATATGCAAATTGATATTAATACAAATACAAATCAATCTCAACTTCAAGTTTGTATTTTCAATCTATAATAATCATTTTTTAAATAATTATTATCGATTTAAATTCCATATTAATAATCAAACTAGCTC